CTGACTACAAAATGAATTTACTCCTTCTCTAAAGTATTATATTTTGTGTTTTAGAAAGAGAATGGCAGTCTTCATGCTGAATGTAAGTCTGACCTTTCCTTTTACTCTAAACAGAGTGCGTCTACACGATATGCTTAACTTCACATTAACATAGTTTATGGTGAAGTAAGCATGTGCATCTACATGTGCACATGCTTACTTCACAGTAAATCTCCCTAATCCTGAGTAAATTTGTTACCTGCAAATGCAAGTAGCAAATTTACTCAGGATTAGTAATGGCAAAGTAGTGCTTGTGTAGATGCCTAACTAGGAGCAAAATCTGTTCCTGCTCAGCCATCCACCAGGGGACAGGAGATAGCTCCCTGCCCTCAGGAGCTGCCTGCTGCTGGGGCGGGCTCCACCACAGGAGCCTGGGTGGGGACTATGTCCCTTTGCCCTAGCAGAAGGGAGCTCCAAGACCCCTGCCCTGAGATCGTGATCGGGGAGTAGGGGGTTGGGAGACGCTTATCTCCCAGCACTGGCTCCAACAACCATGGGGATAGTGCTGGGAGATCCTTATCTCTCAGCTCAAGCCCCACGGTCACCAGGAGACCCTTATCTCTGGAAGATCCATGACCATGGGGCTCTGGCTGGGAGCTCTTTGATGGTAGGGGCAGGGGAACCTGTTCTCCACCGAGATCTGTAAGCATAGAGCTTGGGGGTGAACAGACTGGGAAGCTTGTTCTCTGCCCAGCTCCATGCTCATGGATCTAGGCAGAGAACTAGCTCCCCAGTCCTTGCCCTGTGTGCCTGGGTGGGGACAATGTCCCTCTGCCCTGGCAACAGGGAGCTTTCAGCCCCCACTCCCCAATCGTGATCGTGGAGTGGGGGCTGGGAGCTTGCTCCCAGCTCTGCAATTGCCACCCAGCCTGGAGCTGGCTGGGACCTGCCTCTGACCGGGACAGTTCCCAGCCAGCCCCAGGCTACCCAGGGAAGCATGTACAGCTTAGAGGTGTCTGGAAACTGTCCTGTTTCAGGCAGTCCCCAGCCAGCTCCAGGCTGCACATGTGGACTTCCCCATGAAGCCTGTAGCTGACTGGGAACTGTCCCAGTCAGGGGCAGGTCTTAGCCCCATGCCCTGTTCAGTGATCGAGGCACAGGGCTTGGAAAGAGGTGCAGGGGTGTGATAGGTCCCAGCCCTCTGCCCTGATCTGCCAGTGGAGCAGCTAGCAGTGAGTTCTGCAGTGTTTCCTGCCAACCAGTTCTGGGGAGAGAGTAGCTGGAAGTACCATATGCACTGAGACAGAGAAAGAAAATCTGGTTTGGAGTATTTATTCCATCCCTACCTTTAACTCCAAATTTATCATGTATTGTATTCAATGGAGTATGTTAAGAAGTTGTTGAAAGATGGGTGAAGTTATATGTTACACCTAGAGTGAAGTTATATGTTACACCTAGATTATACTAAGGGAACTTAGTATCCCATCACACCTTATTGCTAGTGCAGGGGGAGCCCAGTACTAGGTTCTGGTCTCCCCCTGCATCAGCAAGTAGCAAGCTCCTGTGGCTGGGAGCTGCTTCAGCTGACAGGGCTCCTAGGTGCAGGGGCACATAATCCACTCAGGCTGGGAGCCTTGATCTGCTGTGGGGTCCCAACCTTGGGAGCCTATGGTACGCCCCTTTGGCTGGGAGCCCCGTCAGCGGATGGGGCTCCCAGCCACAGAGGCATATCTGGCCACATGTTCAGTTCATGGCATAATAAGAACCAGCCACAAAGGGGAATAACTTTGTGACTCAGTCCTCATTTTATCACACCAATAATCGATTGAATGTGTGGCCAGATCACAACTTAAGACAACCAGTTAATAACGGCTTGAGTGTAATGTATTGTAGGGGCCTGAGTGTCTTAAAGTTATGAAACTCCAGGCAAGGGCGAATTCTGGACTACCTTGCTTGTGTTAGGATAACTTCAGTCCACTCCATGGTGATAAAATGAGCAATTTGCAGTCCTCCAGCATCCCAGGATGCACCAGTCCCTGCCCCTCCTCCCACCCCTTCAGAGCAGGGATTGAGCCCAAGAATCCTGGCTCCTAGCCACATCCCTGGTCACATCCCTGCTCACCAGCCATCTAGTGGCAGGTCAGAGCTGTGCAGGCAAGAAATGGTATTAACATTTAGGGCATTTGTACACATTTACCCTGCAGCACTGGGTGCTTTAAAAAGTGCCCAGCGTTGTGGCACATGCATTTGTATAAATAGTGAAATGCACGGCAGCATTGAGAATATGGTGGTGGCACGCATTTGAACTCAAACACATTGAAGGTGCTTTAGTTCAAAAGCGTACCACCGCCATTTTCTGCACACTGATACGCATTTTGCCACTTATACAACTGCCTGCAGTGCATTGTGCATCAGCTTGTATGCATGCTCTGATGTGCTGAATTTCCAGCGCGTCAGAGCAGACATAGGTATGTATATAAATGCCCTATGTGTGTGACTGCTCACAGCACATTCTTACTTTAACACCACTTAACTTTCCACATATTTAGTAAAATGTATCGTAATGTAATATGTAAATTCACCTATATGTAATATCTGTATTCACAAATTATACACTGTTCTTTTTTCTTGAGAGAAAGAATAATGAGAGGTAGGAGGCATTTTTATGGGCACAATAGAATTACATTTTGTGTTAAAGCTTTCTCCTCATTGCCAGGGCAGCATACATTGGATTCAGGCAAATTAATACAATTAGTGTTTATGAATCTAAGCTTCTATAGGAGCACTCAGGGTTCGAGATGTGCAATTCTTTGTATAATTTGTACAGCAGAATAAATTGATAACATAATAAAAAATCCATAAAAGATGGGAGTTTTGAGGAGTTTTCTTTGAAATCCTACTAATCTCTTACTGGGATAAATTGAGATAAATACTCACCTGTTCTGGGTTTGCAAAATATTGTGTCAACATGGGGACATGGGAATAGGTTTTGGTGGGTAGAAGAGATTTGGGGAATACAAAGGCATTAGAGATATAAATTACTGTTCCTCTCATTAATGCAAAAGGGCGTGAAGTGAAAAACAGAGCTTTCTAGACTTCTGAAAACTAGAGGGGGAAATATCACTAACAGCTCCTCCAGAAGCTCTTGTCTTCCCTGCCTCCAAATAGGGGCAGGGATGGTACCAATGGGTACCACCCTTCTCTTTCCTTGCTGTGAAGCAGGAGGCAGGGCAGGATGGCACCTTAGAGACTAACTGGTCAAAGTTGCCACCCTGCCCTGCCTTCTGTCTGACCCAGATAACTGTCTCTCTTTACTCAATGTGTGAGTCCTTGGGTCTCTTGCACCACCAGGTGCATTTTTCAGCATTTCCTGATCTATCTGATGGAGTGTGGAATGCTTCAGGACTTGGACAGAATGAATGGGAGACCTGGCAGTGTGACAGGCTGCTGCATCACCTAGCAAAGTAAAATGTGTGATGCTTGGGACTTAATCTTCTTCCTTCCAGAGTATATCAGGAGTAAGATTTTAAAAATCAATAGACCTTCAGTACAGTAAAAGTAGGGGAAGTGAGTATAGAATCAGGCCCTTAGTATGCCTGTAAACTGGAGTAACAGTTGCCTCTCTCCACCTACTTATGAAAAACTTTCCAGAAGGAAAACAGCTAGTGAGGCCAGCCAATCAAGTTGGTAGCAGTTAATAACAGAGCATTGGAAATTTTCCAGTTTCAGTTATGCAGTCTCTTTTTAAAAAAAAAAATCATCATTAATTCCTGCTGTCCTGCTTAGTACATAAAAATGTGTAATGACTGTGAGTTTATTACAAAGGGATCTCTAACACTTGGATCTCCACTAAGTCATGAAGATGTATGTGCTTTAAATCTTCGGGAGGTCTGGTTTGGATCACACAAGTGAGGTTAACAGAGCCGTATCTTCTGAGAGCAGCTGAAAGTGAAGTAAAACAGTCCCTGTGTGGTTGCAGCGGTTCATGATTTACAGAACTGAATTCATAGTGCTGCTGAAAACATACGCTCTGCCCTGCTGTTGATTTTTAAATTAAAAAAGAGCAGCTCTATACACAGTTTACTTTATTGCTAGAGGGCAGGGAAATATAGGTAGAAGCCGTTAATCCCCAGCGGGCTGCTGGGCAGGCGAACAGTCGTGGATGACAAAAGTTAATTGGAAACATGAGCAGTTTAACAGAAAACACGTTGGTGATAATTGAGAGAATAACGTCTCCAGAAGAGAAACTTTGCAAAAAGAAACTTCAGGAGAGAAGTGGCCACTGATAGGTAAGTAAGCAAGTATGATTTTGGATCTCTTTTTAGGCACTAAACTAGTCACTTAAGGAAAACAAGAAACATTCACAGAAGCTAAAGAAATAGGAGTTTGGGGCTTACCGGGAAAGGGTTTACAGTTACTGCCACTAGCTCATCTTACAGCTGGATTTAGTTATGAGATAAAGATGTATCATTTAGGTTCACTGCATGAGTAAGAGCATGATTGGTTTTATTTTTGCAGAATGGGTTTGCCTCTGTTTTTATGGATATGAAAGTTTGAAACCATCCTTAATTGGAATAACTTCATTTTTTTTTCCTTTCTCCATGCAGTATTTTAAAGATACTTGAGGTTTTTCTGAGAAGTGAACTTGGACAGCAGAGCTTTTGCTAAAAGCTGAGGGAAAGTCTTAGTTGGATAGAAGTGTCTGTATTCATGCTAATGAAAATTCAGTGAAGACTTATAGGACACTGAAACACATGCATTTTTTCCATGTTTAGGTTGATCCAGGAATGCTGCAAAATTGAATACATTTGAATGGTAGGAGTTTCTTGTTCTTTTGTTTCAGGGGATGAAAACAACAGAAGTCCTTCCTCATCATAACTGCTATAGTTTGTAATAATGATACCTCTCTTTCTTTGCTGATATTAGTAGTCTAAAGCACCTTTTCTTTTACCATGGAGAGAAGCTGTGGAGCTGTTTTAATACCGGGTGCTACTAAGTGTTTTTTTTTCCTTCTTCCCCAGAGCCAGAAGACAGTACAGCCTCTCAGCCGACAGGAATGAATGAAAATGTACCATCTTCAGTTCAAAGCTGCAGCACTACAAATGCTGTTAGTTGCAATAACTCATCGGCCATACCCCAGCCCAGCTCTGCCATTAAGCCCTGGCGCAGCAAGTCCCTTAGCGCTAAGCACACAGCCACGTCTTCCATGTTATCTGTAAAGCAGCCAGTGCCAGAGCCTCCCAAACCACCAACGGAAATGGTCAAAGCAACTCCTAATGGACAAAAATCCATGCTTGAGAAATTAAAACTCTTCAATAGCAAAGGAGGCTCCAAAGCAGGTGGGACAACCCTGGAAGGTTCAGGGTCTCGGGATAACAGCTGTGAAAGACTTGAGACACTTCCCAGCTTTGAGGAAAGTGAGGAGATTGATGCTGCAAACCGGAATGTGAATAATCCAGGACCAACATCCAGTAGTCCCAAAATTGCACTCAAGGGAATTGCACAAAGAACTTTTAGCCGCGCACTGACTAATAAGAAAGGTTCCCCAAAGGGCAGTGAGAAAGAGAAAGAGAAGCAGAAAGAGAAAGAAAAGGATACATGTAGAGACATGGTAAAAAGAACATCTGTAACGGAGAAGCTGGAAGTGAAAGAAGAGCCAAAAGAAGAACAGACAGCACCAGCTGCAACAGAGATGCCAAAAAAGTCCTCAAAGATTGCAAGCTTTATCCCTAAAGGAGGAAAGCTGAATAGTGCCAAGAAGGAGGCCTCTGCCCCTTCGCACAGTGGAATACCAAAACCAGGAATGAAAACCACCACAGGGAAATCCTCAAGTGCCCCAACTTCTTCAAAGGAAGGTGAGAGAAGCCGCAGTGGGAAACCTGGCTCAGGGCTCTCTCATCAGAAGACCCAACTAGACAGCAGGAATTCCAGTTCCACTTCAAGTTTAGCCTCCTCAGAAGGAAAAGGGATAGGAGGGGTATCTGCTCTTAGCAGCAGCAGCAGCACCCAAGCTGTCAGTGGGCCAGCTAGTACCACACAGACTACAGGAAGCAATACTGTGAGTGTTCAGCTACCTCATCCCCAACAGCAATACAGCCACCCGAACACTGCCACAGTTGCACCGTTCATGTACAGGTAGGGTCAACTCCTCAAGTATAATGTTTTGCACTTGGTGTTTTTATAGGGAAACTCATTTATCATGTGGTTACTTGGGAACACAAGTTAAAAGTTGTACAACAGCCACTTTAGTTCTACTGTTAGCACAAAGGCTGCTATGAAATAATTTAAAATATATTACAATTAAATAAAGTAATCATAATCTGATTACATGCCCTCATGCTCATGAAAACTTCTGCTATGCAGCTCTACCTAGCCTTCTGTCTGACTTTGGACTAACATGGCCAACTGCCTCTCTCTCTCTCAAACAGTTGTCAAACTCGAAATGTATAGTATTCCTGAAAGTTAGGGAAGCAAAGAGTTGCTGTATCTCTGACAGAACAGTTTGAGAAAAGCTGATTCTGTAATATTAATGAATGGTATGTATATAGTAGTGCTTGCATTTCAGGTGTATTGTTCGACTGGCAGTAAGTTTAAAATCAGTTGGTAGAGCACAGCTAAACAGAGTAGCAGGAGGTATTAGGCATAGTACCTCAGCAGGTATAATACCTCTAAAATACCCCCTAAAAATGTCTACTGTTTCTGACACTAGTTTTGTTTCACTGGTAGCTGCAATGTTAGGACCCCTTCTGTAGATGGCCAAAGCTGCCTTGGCCATTTTTAATATTTTGTTGATTATGCTGGTTTCATGTGTCATGATGTTTCCTAATGCCAGAACATGTTCAGAAAATTCCTTTAGGCCTAGGAACAGAGGAGGAACATGACTGCTGCTCCATGCTTGTATTCGCTCCCCACTGAATGGGCTTTGCTTGGTTAGCAGGGGTAGAGTCAGGAGAGCTGAGCCATAGTCCTAGTACCTCAACTGACCTTTAGTGAAAGTTCACAGAACAGTTCATATACTCAAGAAATCAAAAGGATTGCTTAGTGCTATATGGGACCATAACAAGGAAAGAAGGGCCAAAGTGTCTTTTAGCCCCTATCCCTATGCAGGCACATAAAAATAGGCCAGTGTGAATGATGAACCTGCTGAAAATATATGTTGTTATTAAATTATCCTTGGCACTAAAGAAAATTCATATTGAACTTACTAATATTTCCATATTCACCTTGCTTCCCAATGTACTCTGTTCCTATCACTGTCACTACAGCATCTTACCATTGGCAGATAGTGGAATGCACCAAGACTGTTTAGAACTCATTGAAGGTTGAACTCTTTACTGAGAGTTAGTGAGGGCCAGTGCCATTCAGAGGATTATAATACCGTAACTGAAGATAGAAAGAACCGGTTGTTCCTTTTTTTATTTCTACAAACATGAGTTCATATGACACTGGGTTGAAGACTGCTTATGAATATAATGTCCTATCAAAAGCCAAAATAAAACTGCTATAATAACCAACCTGATGCTCGTCTCTGTTCAGTATTTTGAACAGAGATATCATCTGAAGCATGAAAACTGGGCTGATAAAATTTTTATAATCCTTGCAACATATTGATAGTCTCAAGGTAATATTTATTTGACATTTCAAAAGGCACAAAACAAACTGCATAGTCTTGCCAGGGGAAGGAAGCTGTTCCAAACTTCAGAAAATATGTTTTACTTGCCAAGCCAGTGAAAGGTCAAAACTAAAAGTGAAAGGCCCAAATGTATCATAATCATTTTCTAAGAGAGCAAAGTAAAAATATGTTTAATAAAATGGGCTGCAGCCATGAACAGTGAGTGACTATTTGCAAGTCCTGAAGAATATAAATTTGTAGCTTCATTTTATGTTTTAGTGTCTAAACTTTCCTGTTAAATGTAAGGTTCAGCTGTTAAGGACATGTCTGCCTTTTCAATCTCAGGGTCAGGTCCTTTATAATACTAGTAGGTGCTTAACATCGAGGATTTTATCTAAAGTTTCTTGATGTTAATGCACGGGCTTCCACTGCCTAAGCCAAGAAGGGCAAAGCTATAGCAGATTAATCAACCTGGATCTGCAGGACAGGCTGCCATACTGAGCTGGGTTACAATAGGAGCCTCAGGTTTGCTCTAGGTAGTTCACTACCTTGGAATTCTTGGATACATATGGGTTTTTGGTTGTAGCAGTGTTGGTTTAAGGACATAGGCAGGCAAGGTTCTTTGGGAAGATGTGACATCTTTTATTAGACGAACTGAGTAGTTGGGAAAAAGTTATTTGCAAGCTTTTGGGTGCAATCACCCTTCTTCAGGCATAGGAAGTCTCTGCTGTTCTGAGTCTCTGGTGTTTCTTGGAGTCTCAGAACAACAGAGATTTCCTATGACTGAAGAAGGGTGATTGCACCTGAAAGCTTGCCAAGGACTTCTTTCCAGCTACTCAACTGGTCTAATAAAAGATATCACATCTACCCAAAGAACCTTGTCTGGATATATATGGCACCTTCCTCTGTCTGCAATCCCTACACAAGGAGCAATGTGTGTAGTTGGTAGCAGAGGGGATATGCTTGGTCTCTCCAAGCCAGGAGCAGATCCACCAGCTTCACAACTTTGCAAGTATGCCAAATTTTACAAGAGGGTCTGTTGTAAATATCTCATTTTCTCTTATATTTTTAAATTAGAAAAATAATTTGCTGTATGTTTCACATGGCTTTTCCAGTGATTTCAAAAATTGTATCTGGTTAAATATCTGCTAAACCCTCTATCTAGACACTGAGGTTGTGCACTTGGAGAGGTAGATTTCTAATCTTAATGCATTCCTAAAGTACAAAACTCAGTATAATTAGTCAAATGAAATGATCACAGTTTATGCTGATAATGTCTGAAAAATAAACTCTCGTGAGAGCAAGTTTCATTCATTGATAGCTTCAGAACTTTGGAACATAGGTTGGGGTTATGTAAAGGCAAAATAATGCCGCTGGACACTTGGGGCAGTGGTGACTTCTGACTGCCACTGTGCTGCCAGTGTGATTGCACAGCTGCAATGCCAGTATTTCCCTTCTCCTCCCCAACCCATAAGTCAGTGCCTGGGGAAGCTGCCCCAGTCACCCCACCCTAGGTATGCTACTGGGGTTGAGGATCATTTTATGCACTGGTTTATTTTCCAATGACAGCTGGTAGTGCTTCTAGTCAGCGAAGGGAATTCTGCACAGGTATACCCAACCTACTTTTCATTTTATAGTGTAAGTTTTGCAGGTAGTTAATATCAGCATTTCAGACACAATGTGTGTTTCTGACTAGACTGTAGTTTTAGCTAAAACCCAAGTGTTTTAGAACCTTGTCTGAGGAACTGGAAACCTACAATTGATTATGAATATTTCATTTTTTCTTTACAGTTCAGTGCTTGTTTCCGTTTCTAGGACATAGCTCAACGTGGGACTAATGAATTATGTAGAGTCAGTCTGCTAGTATATTCTAGAGAGAAGGGCACAGTGGATGATGGCAGCTGCAGTTTTGTAGATGTTATATTTGTTTTATTTTTGGTTGTGAATGATTGCACATCTCTATTTTGTTTTGCCTTTAAGATCACAGACAGACACTGAAGGGAATGTAACGGCTGAGTCCAGCACCGGAGGGGTGAGCATGGATTCTGCCCTTTACACTAAAACTGGACAGCCTGGTCTTGAAGACCTTTCAGGTAGGTCTTGGAATACCACTAGTTAACTTTATCCCGCAATTATATAAATGAATATGGGCTAAATAGAGTTTAGCTGAAACCACTGGCTCCTTCTTACAAGAGAAGTGAAGTTAGTGCCTTATTTTCCTAGTGCCTAGTGCGTATTCCTAGTGCCTTATTTTTGACAAGTTCTGATAATTCAGTTGGTTCTTCAGAAATAGTAACTGAGGAAATATTGGAGTTTTGGACAACAGTATGCTGAGCACTACAACCTGCACTGAAATCGTTATGAGTTGAGGGTAATTAGCATCTTCCTAGAGATCTCAAGGAGCCAACTCTGAAATTTGTTGCCTTTCATCCATCATTCATTCATATTCAATCTAAATAATTTGAGGAATTGTGTCCTTTGGTTCTATTTACTGAATTTCCCAGATTTATAATTAGAGCATAAAGAAACTGGGGTTAAGTCTGAAATTCTAACAATTTCAGATTTATCATAAATCAATAACTAGGCTACATCTGTAAAAAAAAAAATAATAATAATAATAATAATAAAAAATGAAGTAGAGATCCTTCCCACATTCATCAGTTTGATGACTAAATTACTGGAATAATGTCTTTACTGAATTCAGAAAAGTAAAATGAACTCCTGGCTTACTGCTGTTCATTTTATACAAACCAGTGCACACATGCTGTAATCAATTGTGATTAGGATGCTGTGGGTTGTAAAGTAATGAATGTGTTTCTGTGTGTTCTGAAATTCATGCCACTGAAGAAATAGCTGCTTATTAGCAACATACTCACAGCTACTTTTAAGCTTAACAATAATAACCAAGGCATTTTTTTTTTTTTTGGCAACCAAGAGCCCCTCTACCCCTGCATGGAAAGGTGTGATGAGATCTAATGTGTGATCCCACAATTGTACTTCCTGGTGTGCATGGCAAAAGGCAAAACTGTGGGGCCATGCATTAGATCCCTCCATGCCTTACCGCCAGTGCAAGGGGAACCTGGGGTCATGATCCCAGGCTCCCCCTGCACTGGCTCTCACAGCTGTGAGCAGTGGGGACACCGTTCCCCACACTACCCTGACAACGAGCCCCACGGCCAATATTGCTGTAGGGCCTGCGGCAGGGGAAGCACCAGGAACGCTGTCCCTACTGTGAGCATCATCAGCTGTGGGACTAACAGTGGGGGGAGCATGGGGCATGTGGCATGCTTGTACTGCTGTGAGCCCCATACCCCATGAGCATCACAATGGACATCACACATTCTCCCCTGCTGTGAAACCTGCAGCAATATTGGCCATGGGACTTGCAGTAGTGACGACGTTCTCCCACTGCCCCCACTGCGAACCCAACACCTCCTGAGGCTCACAGCAGAAGCAGCTTTCTTCCCACTGTCCCTCCTGTGAGCCCCACAGCTGAAGATGCTGTCCCTGCTGCAACCCCCGCAGCCGAGGAGACTTGCCGAGGGCAGCGTTCTTCCTTCTGCAAGTCCCAAACACCAGTGGGTGGTGCACCCTTGTGGCTGGAAGCCTCTCAGTTGATGGGGTTCCCAGCCACAGGGGAGCACTTGGCCACACGTCCAATTGATGGAGTGATTAGAACAAGCTATAAAATTATTACGTATTTTTTGTGCAATAACTTTGTAGCTTATTGCTTGTTTTATCATGCCATTCATTGGTTGAACATGTAGCTTGGTCGCAAATTAAGGTGTGATTATTACCTGGTTAATTAATTCAGTATAATGCCCAAGTTTTATTAGAAATTACAGTTGTGCTGGTGAATCTTTGGAGTGCTTTCATCTTCTTACCCATGTATTTTTAGGGATGTGCGTGTGTGTTTGATAATCTAATCATTTCTTTGAAAGATCTTGTGCTTGGGATTACATTGTGCTGTTCCTATCTTGTTAGTCTATGCCACTTCTGGTGTAATGGTTTGGGACTGGTCATCCTGCTTAGGAAGTCATGAAGCTAAAACTTTTACAACTTGGATTAATTTCATATTCCATTATATATTCTGCCTCTGCCACATTTATACCTGCATTTAGGTGTACTGGTGGCAGAGCTAAGACACAGAGTTAGTGGTGAGGAAGAGAGTGGAGGAAATGCATGCATGTTTGCATCTGCATATATAATTTATGTATACATTAATTAAATATTAAACAGATAAGTAGCAATAGCATTATGGTCTTGGAGAGCATTCTGGAGGTCATATATAAAAATATGGAAGATAGTGCATTACTGTATAGGTTGTGGGATTGAGTATTGGCCTGCTTGTATGATTTTTGTTTTTTTCCCCAGTGCTGTCATTGCATTACTTTGAGCATAGCAGCCTGGATATCTATCAGTTCTCCTTGCTGTGATGGGAATGGGAATGATACCTAGCTTACATAGGAGTTTTAGTCTTTAATGGAAGACATAAGTGCATATTGTTATTATTTTACTAATATATGTTGTTTTGAGATCGAAAATATACCTGACAGTGGGACAACCTATAGATCATCAAATACAGGAGATTGAAAGAGGCAAATTTTCAAAGCTAAATTCAACAGGCATTGGTAAATCCATTAAGAAGAAGTAAGGAAAAACCAACAAACAAAACTGTTCTTCACCCCAAAAGAAAGAGAAAATATAATAAGCATGTGGCAGACTATGGAGTCTTTTATTATCTCCATATAGGCATGTAACAATCATTGATGTTGTTGGCTTGCATGTGCATATGAAGAGGAAAGAAAATACATGTGGAAAAGTTTAAACAATTTGCAGGCAATATTTACTAAATATTCACAATGAGAATAATCTCTATGTCAAAAAAGCAATTAATTTTTTTATCTAACTTAGTGAATATTCTTGTGGAACATCAGTTTACTTCTACTAAGGACCTTTATAATATCTGTCTGAGTATGACTTTGTGCTGAGAAAAACATTGCCTCCAATTTAGTTTTGTAAGTGAGCCTCTCAAAGCACATAACTTCAACTATTTTCATTTCAGCTAAGCCTCTTATCTGTGTTCTTAATAGCTTATCTTCCACTTACTTTCCTATCTATGGAAGAAATGATCTGTGAAAGAGCACCACAACCCTTTATCAGGCCCTAGTCCTATAAATATTTTGATGTTCTTTGGCACTTTAGTAATATTTAGATCAGTAAATATATGCAAACTTTTTCCTTCCCGGAGTCTCTATGGATTGGAGAGCTGAGTTTGTTAGGTTGCCATTTCCAGTCTAGCTGAGGTTGGAAGTCCTATTTATCTGATGGTTGGGTGGTCTATGTGTAGGGACCTACCAAATTCATGGGCTCTGGTGGCTGATTACAAGGCTGTAATATGACTGGGACCCCTGATTTCATGGCCGTATCACAGTCAGGGCTGCCATTTTGAAGGTGGAGAAAGCGCCCTCCCCCCCCATGCCTCTAGCTGAGGGGCACCAAAAGTCCCACCCTCCCAGGCATTGATTGAAAGCCCTACCTCAGGTGGGCAAAATATGGCCTGTGGGCTGGATCCGGGCCACCAGGTGACTGGATCCAGCCCACAGCTGCCCCTGTGGCACTCCACATGGGGCCATAACTGCCCACTTGCACCATGACAGCCTGCACCAGGCTCCTACCAGTGCCTGCTGGTCCAGGCCCCAGCCAGTGTGCAGCTTCTGCTGGGGCTGTTCCCGGTGCAGCTGCAGCCAGGTGCTGCTCTGTGCCCCCCACCTCCAGTAGTGGTTCCTGCTTTTGATCTTGGTCCTTCTGTGCCATGCTGCACTGTGCCAGGCAAGTAGTTTCAGCTGGGTAGCTCCCATCAAGGACATGAGGCTCTGGCTTCAGCTCCTGGGTGCCAGTTCCTGGGTGCCAGATCTGGAGAAGGGGACTTTTGGTGGGGTAGTCTGCCTTTTTTTTTCTCACTTTGCCCCCTTCCCCCTCCCCCTGCCATTCTAGAAGACAGCTTTTTGCCAGCTGTTTGCTGGCTTTTTGAACATAGCCAGTTCCCCATGGAAAAGCACAGGGAACTGGCTATTTCACAGGAGACAGCCAATTAAACAATTTCCATGAAATGATATATTTGTTAGGTCCCACTCCCTATCTATGTGAAATGCATTGTTAGTGTCAATATGAATTCCGCATATTGAAAAATGTCACGAACATGCCCCTCCAGCCTTGTCCCTTCTGAGACAGACAACAAGGGATCAATTAAGGCCTGTCTATATTGTGGTGGGAGGAAGTAGCTGTTCCAGAGCTGGAAGTTCATTAGTGGGGCTACTGTGGGCTTGTCCCCAGTGCCTACTTTCAAGCCTTCTATCGGGCCTGAGTGTGCAGATGCTGGAAATGAGTTTGAAGCAGTCCCATTATTGATCCTTTGGTGCTGGAACATGTCAGCAGACTCGGTTGGGTAGAGTTTGGCATTCTCGTTTCCAACCTGCCTGAAACCTATTGTCACCCTGGTACAGACAGACCTAATTGCACATCTTCCCTTTTTCAGAAAGATTTATATTCACCCATAGGCGATGTGTGTGTGGGGGGGGAGTATGCGGGGGCACGTGCCCCCCCGCTCAGATTGGCCACCTTTGAAGCTGCCGCTGGCTTTTGTGGGCAGTCACCACTCGCCACCCGCCCCCACCTCACATCCGACACAGCCATCAGCGTCTGCAGGCAGTCCCCACTCACCGTTCTTCTCCCTCCCCCTGCCTCCCACCGCCGACACCAACACTGGCAGCTGTGGGAGGTCCCCACTTGCAGCCATGGTGCTCCCAGTCTTGGGAGGCACGAGTCATTCATGTATTCACCCAGTCCATGGTCTGTCTTCTCTTCCCTAGAATGGTATGTCCTAGGCAGGTCTGCAGCATGTTGGTGGGCTAACATGGAGAAGTTTGAATTATGCTACCATGAGAGGCCTTTGTTCTCAGGGAAGGATTTTTTTTTTAAACAAAATAGCAAAAGTTTGGAGGCCGATTAATCCATCATTACCATTTAAAATTTCTGATTTATGCATTGTGTGGACAGCCATCTAAAACTAGCGGTTTTGTAGATCAGTTCATTTCACAGTGTCATGGTAGCTTTTAGGAGAAAGGGGCCGCTTATTTAAAGAATGTGCAAGACTGAAGTATAAAAAAAAAAATGACTAAATTTGATGTATTAAGTATTTTGCCATTTAGATGTTGGTTGTATACTGGAATAAGATCATTTCCTTCTGTGAAAAGAACCTAGTTTAATGAGCAGAGTTGTTTCTGATACATTCTCTGGAGGCTTTCTATTTCAGTTTACACGCTTACAATATGCACAATGGAACCACTAAGAATCATAAGTCACTTCTTTTCAACACTGAAGGAGCTAAATAGATAACATACAGCTGAGTTAGCAACCTGAAGTGGTTTTTTAATTGATTGCAGAGAACAAGCAAGCAGAAATAAATTCCATCAAGGCCACTAGAAGTGTGTTTTTGTTTTATTTTGTGTTGTTTTGTAGTTCTTTTGTAGTTAAAAACAGGAAAAACATTGTTTTCAAATGGACCTTTTTAAAATGATACCAAGGAATTAAAAACACAAGTAATTCTTAAGTAAAAGATAGGAAAGTAAGTGTGGCACTAGGAACAGAAATAACACATAATTTGCCTTTGAATATTGTTTTTCTAATTTTGGAAAGTTTTCTATGAAGTTGGCTCCTATGCTGTTGAAAGATAGCTGCAACGTGGCCACCTGAATGTGTTGCAGGCCTGAAAATTATTTTGAGCTCCCACCAAAAAGCAAGCAAGCAAACAGAAGGACCTTCTACATGAATGGAATTTGCCCAATGGGAGTCGCTCTCCAATGGATATCTAACATCATATTCTCTTCATAAATAATATATAAGTTACATAAAGGCAGGAATTTGTACTTGACTTAGACCCATGAAGTGGGGTGGTTCATCCCATGTCCTATTGCCAGTTAATATAGGGTATTTCTTTATTTTTAAATTTTCTTTTCCATTTTTAGGGGAGGATCCAGAAACGCGTCGCTTGCGAACTGTGAAGAACATTGCTGATCTTCGACAGAACTTAGAGGAGACGATGTCCAGCTTACGGGGAACCCAGGTTACTCATAGGTAATGGCACGAATTGCTCCTGTATTAGAACAGTGAAAAACCTGTGTCCTGGTGTTATTGATCCAAAATTTGGCTGGGTTATGCTTCTGGAAGATGATTAATGCTGACAATGGCGGAAATTAAGTTGACTAAGTATTTATTGTGCTTTTCTTCTTTTTATGGAAAGCAGAGATTCTAAACCTTGTTCAGTACCTATCAAGATTTATGAGGAGTAACTGATGGTGGTGGAGAAAGCATGCTGCTTGTATATAGAAGCACAATCATAGAAAGAGCTGTGTTCTGTAAATGCATTAGGTGATGTTTGAATTGATGTGTACAAGAGTTACTATTTAAAATGTTACTTCGGTTTACTCATGAGTGACTTTAATGCATTTCCCCCAGATCTATAATATTCTGTTTAAACAAGCAGGTGAACTGTGTTTGACCTGCTTGATAAAGTGCATAACTTGAATTCCTGACTGGCCTTTGGACAAACAAACCTTTATAATATTATTAGTTATGTACATGTATAACTTTTTTTAGTCAAGCAATATTTAGAAATCTCCAGTAATATTTAAACTATGCTTCAAATAAACAAAAGCGGTTATTGCATTTGAACACACTCTGAGATTGATCTTGTTTAAGTATCCAAAGGGAGGTTTAGGAGAATATGAAGTTTGGCAACGTGAAGGGCCTGATCCTGCATAGTGTTCATAGAATTAGCAGCTGAAGGTTTGTAGCTTGGCTTTGTATCTAAAGTGAAGGCAGGACCTGCACAGATGAACTCCCAGTGCATCTGTTTTCCTTGTCAAATTTTAATTAATGTGACAGCTCATTATGAGTTAATTACTGGAACCACAGGATCATGAGGCCAGCTTTTGTTTTCACAAGGCTTACTGTACTATGAGTAGTCTAAGCCCATTTTATCTATATTAACAGATGAAGGTAACGGTGTGTCAATTCAGTGGAAAAGATAATCAATGGTTGACTTGGAGAAGAGCAACTGAAACTGTGAATTTGAAAAAAAAACCCAAGCAGGCTGTGCTAGGATTTATAATGAAAGGGAAGGAGCTTACTTACCCACGTAGGCATGTAGAATATAGGGTGTGGGTCAATATGAGTCTTGCCAGACATTTCATTTAGTAGTCAAGAGATAAAATGCATTTGTAAACAAGGTATTGTATAAACATATATAAAATCTTAAGAGTTTTGAAAAAATTAGGCAATTATCCTGATTTTCATATTTCTGCGTTTTACTTACTAGTTAAAAAGGTGGCCGATGGGTTGTTGGCTGAAGCTTTGCTAACCTAATTGGGATATTTGTTGAGTGCAGTTAGAAAGGAGAATACAGTTCATAAAAATAGCAGCTCAGAATCAAAAGGTATTCTTTTAATCAGCTTAATAGCCTAATCCCCTTGCCTGGAATGGTGAAAACATCTACTGTGTTTAGCTTTGACTGAGAGGGAGAAATATGCTTGGATACTAGGAATAATCCCTGGCAAAAACCCCCTAACATTTCTCCACCTGCCCCTTCTCCAACACTACAAGATAATCATCTGGTGACTTGGCAGGGGGGCTCCTTATTTTAGAGTAGATCATGAACTGCATAATATATGAGCATGTTTCAGAAACTAGCAGCAAAATAGCTGCCTATGCTGTATGTGTACAACAAAGTGATAAACTAGACAGCAGTGGGGAGCACTGAGGCAGCATTGTCAAACACACCCATCATTTATAACTATATAAAGAAGTGATGTGGTCCAGTAAATGATTGTTGCACCACAATTTTTTTTATTTTGAAATCGCTGTTACTTTCTGAAACACACTTGTACTTCTGTTGTGTCACTTGCATTTGAAAACTCTGTCAGTATTTGGAAACCAAATTTTCCATGATACATGAAAACCTTCACTGGAACTCTAATGCTTCTGTATGACATAAGTGCAGATTGAATTCAATGTTTTATTTTTCAAGCACATTGGAGACTACATTTGACACCAATGTCACAACTGAAATAAGTGGTCGCAGTATTCTCAGCTTGACGGGAAGACCAACGCCTTTATCATGGAGACTTGGACAGTCAAGTCCCCGCCTTCAGGCAGGTGATGCTCCATCGTTGGGAAATGGATATCCACCAAGAGCTAATGCAAGCCGTTTCATCAATGCTGAGTCTGGGCGTTATATGTATTCAGCACCTTTGAGGAGACAGCTAGCAACCCGTGGTAGTAACGTTTGCCATGTGGACATCTCAGACAAGGCTGGTGATGAAATAGATCTTGAAGGCATCAGCATGGATGCCACTGGCTATATGAGTGATGGTGATGTTCTGAGCAAGAATATAAGAACTGATGACATTACAAGTGGGTAAGTATATGTAATTCGCTTTCAAATACTATGCATAATGGTACAGTAGAACCAAGGTCATATCCAAGTGGTCACAACCTACTTGATTCATAGCAAGTTGTTAAATTAGGAAGAAGCCACTTAGCTGTCTGCTGTGGTTTTTACTTCAAAGGGTACTGCTTTTCCACTCAGCTAGAGCTCATCAGCCATTGTGTGCAGCTGATTGGAGAAATGGCTGTGAAATACAAGCCATGGGAAACAGCTGGAGCACTTCAGTGTTCCCTCACAGCTGTTCACTGTGGCTCTGTATATGCCCAGTTAATTTGGGAGCCCTTATGTTTTCTGGCAGGGTTAGGAAACTAATCTTGCAAAGTATCTGGGTTCTACTGTATTCAAATCCCAGCACTATTTGAAGTGGAACAATATTGGTAATTTTTGGTCACTGTTTAAAGGTAGCAAATATATTGTGCATGTTTTAATATGATTTGGAGAGCAGGTTTCCAGCCATATTTCAACAAGGTGGTGGTTAGGGTCTTACCCCGTGCTTCACAAACTTTTCCTCAGCATGATCCCATTTATGGGCCCATTTGCTCAGCACAACCCCATTTCCTCAGCATGGCCCCTCTCTCCCAACCCACAGCACCCCAACCCCATGAACCCCATTCGGGGTTGCGACCCATGGTTTGGGAACTGTTAGTCTTACCTATGCTATTACTTTCTTATTTTTAAGTGTACTGCTGCTTAGGTGAACTACAAACCTAAGCTTAGACCACTTGCTGGGAGAATCATTTTCATGGAATGCTTGATATGAAAGGTCCAGATGAAACCTTACATTTAGAAATATAAAAAAGCTGTTCGGAAAAAAAAAATACCCAGCCTTTTTTGGAGCTCCTCAAAAGTTCTGTTCTGAATTTAAATTGAAGTTTATATGAGGGAGAAGAAGAGGGTTATATTTTAAATGAACTGTTCACATATTTCTAATGTTTGCAGTCTGTATATATTTGTTGATCTCTGTGGCTTCAAATCAACAATGCATCACTAAACATTGCATAAATAATCCTTAATTCCCCTGAAGTCATTGAAACTTAAGGATATGTTTTAGTATGTTCCTGAATAGTAACAGACTTGTGCAGATCTTTCAGAGCCAATAGTATCCAAAACCAAATGCCAACTGCAGCATTCATTGTCTCCACAAGATGGTGAACTTGAGGCACTTTTACATTGCAACATGTCCTGCTCTCTGAACTTTGAACAGAAAGTCCATCTGTTTTAAGTTCACTAGGAAGATGTCTGTTTACATTCAGTGCAAGTGAAAAATATTTTAGTATGCAAAATAAAAATGTACACGCAGATGAAAGTGCAGATGTACAAATTGATGGACAGTTATTTAAATTTAGCAAGATTTTAAGTCAACATTTCACCATTCCTTTGGCTAGCAAAATCATTTTTTTCATTGTTCATATGCATCAACATTTGATTGATGATAAGATAAAAAGTCATTGATCTGAAAATGGCAATTTTCCTATAACTGGTCTTTTCCTTTTTTGGCAGTATTACATCCTTGCTTTTCCTTAACATTTTTAGTAGTGTTTATTCTAACAATGGATTAGGCCAAAAATTTAGAGTTTCTAAATTAAACAGAAAGCTAGAATATTGCTTATATGCTAATGGGTCCATTATTACATTGGAAGCATTGGTTCACTTTGTTCTTTCCGAGAGTTTGGGAGTTTTACTCTCTTTTATTTTTTAAGAGAGTTTTGTAATAAAACAACCCATTGGGAAAAATATACGGAGATAATGGCATGAAGTTTCCCATGTTATATGAAGAATCTGCTGCTTTTATAGTGAAACACATACTTTACTAAAACGGCCTACGTAGTCACAACATAAAGCAGCTTGTACCTGTGTTTTTCATTTGTAGTGCTAACAATGACTGATTTTCCTGAGGGCATATGATTGTCACTCAAAATTTCTCTTGTAAAATTGACTAAGAGAGGGAAAATGAGTTTGAATCATTATGAAAGACTTGAAGCAGGGTCTGTTAAGGCTCTAGCTTATGAATATAATATGAACATAATATGAAAGGACAGGCAGGTTTCTTTTCATATGGAAAAATTCATCCTTGCCTTTAAGATAAGTGGGTGGCCCAGGCACTGTTTAAGAGCTTCTTAAGCCCTGTTATAAAGACCTAAGTGAAATATAGCTCTTATGCTGACCCTCTGAACATATCATCTGTGGCATAATTATGGAACTGTTTGTGTACATACCAGAAGTAGACAATTTAAAAGGAAAAAAGCCACCTGAACACTCTGGCTATACCTTCTGAGGATTATGGCAGGCCTCTCTGGTGCCAGAAGTGGCCCATGTTGAACTTTAATATTCTCAGTCTCCAAGCCTTTTCTTTTTCACTGCAGTTTTCAGAGAGCTCTCCTGAGTTCTCTGCCATTCCTATAAAGGTATTGTATATGGCTCCATCTAATCATTTGCTCAGAACTGAAAACTTCCCTTGACAGAATCATAAACTTATAGTTGAAGTTCAACTTATCATGAAAGGGTATAAGGATGAGAGGAAACAGGAACTTTTTAAGTTCCTGAATGACATTTTCAAAGACACCAGTGACTTTATTGATGTCCACAAATCATTTGCTGCTTTGTAACTAACTGGCTACCCTGCATAGTATGGCATTAAACTTAGCAGCATCTGAAATATTACACATTTTTAACTCTTTAAAATATAGAGCAAGGACCTCTAATAGGGCTCAAAAAAACCCAGTGCATGTCAAGTAACAATTTAGATTGGAATGCAACTTTTCCAAGCATTTCTCTCACTTGTGGTCTCTCAAACAATGAGGTAACTACCAGCAGTATCAGGAGTACACAGGTTAATAGAGCAGACACAGTAAGGTCCCTCTACAGGTTATAGGTATTGTGTAATTATCTTAAGACCAGCTACATGTGCAAAATTTTGATCATGTGATAAAAAGTTCTAGCCAGCTGTAAAGTTAGGCCTCGAAAATGTATACTAACATTATAGCTGGTTGTTATTGAGCTTTAATTTGTACATGTAGCAGGGTCTCCCCTGCTGCTGGGAGCCCTGGCAGCTGACAGGGCTCCCAAATGCAGGGATGCACCTTGCCCCGTGTGAAACCCTTGGGCCCTGGAGATTGTAGCTGTCTTGTTCTGCAAGCCCAGGGGTTTCATGCAGCCCCAAGCCTGGGAGATTGTGGCTGCCGTCATCCCCCAGCCCCAGGGGTGTGTGGGACACCCTCACATCTGGGAGCCTCCTCAATTGAGGGGACTTCCAGCTGCAAGAGCTTGCTTTCTGCAGGTGCAAGGGGAGCCCGGGATGAGGCTCCTCCTGCACTGGCAGAAAGGTGCAATGGTATCGTGATACGTGATTGTGTGGATTGTGCATTACATCCCATCACACCTTTTACCTGCATGTGTAGAGAGGGCCTAAGGCTTCACTGGTAGGCTTGGACATTAGGGCTCATGTAATTGAGGGTGACAAATGGTGAGACAAGATGTCTGGGTGAAGGGACCTTGGTTTAAAAGCATTGGCTTGTAAGAGTAGCCATATATAAATGGCATTTAATTTTCCAGTGCGTCTGGATGTTTTATGCAGTGAATCTTGTCTACTGCCATTACTGACTGAAACAGGCTACAGGAGAGTGATCTAGATTTCTTTCTGGCTCATGTATCATATATTAATTGTTAACTAAGCTCCAGTGATATAATCTTTATTATTTTTATAATTATTTTAATCTTTATTATTTGAGGTTTCAAGGCTAGAGTGATTAGTACTTGATTTATATTTAATCTCTACTACTTGTAATAGAGATTACTATTTCTTGATAGGAGTAGATACAGATATAACCACACAAAGCTGGCTTTAGAGACACTCTTCAGAGTATAATCACACGTGATGGCAATCCTCCAATATTGAATTTAAATGACAGTATTGGATTTGATCCTAATAGTGACTGTGGGATTTGAACCTTCTGTCTCAGAGGTGAGGGTGTTACCCTTTCTAAACCATACCGACACCTACCAATGCTGGATTACTGTCCTCAGTATAAACAGATGTTTTTGTAACCTCAATTTCTGAGTCATCTTCCCTAGTGTCAGTTATTCACAATAACAAAAATGGGGTAGAGAAATTCTCAGTGGGACAAGTCTCAGTGAGACACGGACAATATAGAGTTTAGATAGGAGAGAGCTAGCTTGTACAACAGTAATGTAATTTTCTGTAAAAAAGACTTTTTAAGATAAACTATTGGGCAAGTATGCACAATATTTTTGTAAGTTATAGTCCAGAATGCAAAACACAGCACAAAAAGGCATTTATAGCATGAATAGCCCTTTATTCGTGGTATATGTTTCACTTTGTCATTTTCAAAATTGCTATAATGCTGCAGTTTGAAAAAACTTGGATCTATGTTTTTATTGGCAAACTGATAGGAAAGGAAGCCAAAATATTTATTATAGCCAAAATAAGTCCAATAGCCAAGATAAATTATTTTAGCCCTATACTCCTGATGCTTTCTCTTAAATGTATGGGGTCATGGGAATTTCCATTTGGCCTATTTTTAAGTCAGTTGAAGAAGGGTGCTGGCAGACTTTTCTACTGATTTCATAAGGATAGAAAAATGTCATTTCTTAGGACCTCACCCAGCAGAAAACATCAGTAGCCTTCCAAACCCATACTGATGGAGGAAGGCCACAGAGTTGGAACTGCCGAAGGCTAACCCATCCAGAAAAGATGTTTTGTCAGGAAGCCAAAAAATCAGCAAAACAATGAATCCACAGAGAGTTCAGATTCATGCAAAGGAGTAAGTAAGCAAACAAGATCCTTGAATACCACACTCCTCAAGTTATGATGTCCTGTGAGTGCATGGCCACAGGATTTTACTGGTCTAGATCTAAAGTAACTCCAGCACTGTTTTGATGGGAAGACTGATCCCTTGGGACTGGAATCTTTTAGCCTACCTGTTTTTTTTATTTTCCCACAGCTGAAAGGG